CTCATACGTAGTAAGATTAAAATTGTTTAGTAAATTATATTGTTAAATAATGACTTTGTTATTGATTATCCAGCCCATAATTAATTTCATACTCAAAGACCTTTATATAAAAGATCATAATTTAATCTTGAGGTAGAATTGTAAAAAACCTAAAACTCGTATCATTTTCCACAGTTAATTTTTTAAGAATTTATATATAAAAGTTTATAATCTTTTTTTTTTTTTAAAAAAAAAAAAAAAATAATCAATAAAAAATAAAAAGATGGGTAAAAAAGATTTTAAAAATCTTTACGAGAATATTAAAACAGAATTAAAAGAAATTTCATGCAAAATTTCATACTTTAGTGATAAATTTGAAGAAAATAAAAGTTATGCCGGTATGATTGTATATGCGGTTGATGGAAAGTTTACATGGAAAAATACAGGAGGTAAAGCATCAGGATATAAAGGAAGAAGTTTTTATATCGTTATACAATGTACTAATGATTGGCCATCAGAAGTACTTAACGATGTTGGAAATGGACAAGTTCATCATTATCTTATTAAAAATACTTTTGGTTTTGATTATGATCAAGATATTATTTGTTGTGGAGGATTTTCTTATCATGAAAAACGATTAAAATTTAGTAGTGTTTGGTTAAATGGAAGAAACCAAAATGGTTGGGAAAGTGATGGATCAAAGTATTTAAGCGGACCTGAACAAATTTTAGTAGAATATTGTTTTGAAGAGTATAAGAAATTTGGTAGTCATCATATATTTAAAATACCTAATTATATCGAAAAGCAGTTAATTAATAGTGAGTTAAGGATGTGGTCCTAACAATTATTTTCCCAAAAACAAATGTTGGCCTAATTTAAAGTAAGCATTATTGGAAATCATATTAATGCTGGACTGATTTAGTGGTGGAGAATATATTTTGTGTTTATGGCCGAGCCTAATTTTTAGATTCAGTACATTCTCTGTTTTCTTTATATTGTATACAATATATATAGTTTATAAGATAGCTTATAAATTTATCATATTTTATTATTAATGTTATATACAATATGTATGTTGTTACATTTAAGCTGATTTCCAGAATTAAGATTATTTCTAATCTTAAAAACAACTTACAAATAAAATCTCTACAAATATTTTTCGACAATTAATCGTAATTAGCAATCATATTTCGCAAAATCTTTAACTCAAAATGTGGACATGTGAGGAGAATTTCTTTCAAAATAAAGTTTAATAATCTAATAAAGTTTTTGAGAATAAATTACTTGTCACTTTGCGAAGTTTCGAGAAATTAACAATTAAAGCATACTGTATCGATTATAATGATTATAATGCAAAACGTAATGACACTGCCTACCGCTACGGTGTTATATCACTAGGGCCGATTGAATATTAAAATTTAATCATGTGTAAGAAGGTAAAAGAATGCGTGCAACCGTAAAATGCAGAGGTTGACTGTCATCCAATTAATTTCAATTTAAAAATAAAGAATATTATTATATATATAGATAATAAATTGTTCTACATTTCTTACGTACTACGTACGTATCAATTTTATTTGCATATCCTTTTTTAATATTCACATTTATATTAAGTTGTCTTGAGATTCAAAGCGGGTTCGGAGTAGGTTCGGAGTGCATTCTGAATTCTGTATAACTATATATATATATATATATGTGGAGTTTTATATAAACGTTCCGACAATAATCTAGTTTGGCGCGCGGACTAAATTATCCAGTGCTGCACTACGGCTTAAAATATCCGGTATGATTATACTGTGCAGATTAAAGTATGCACTGTTCTACTGTGCACAATCATACTGCGCGGCTGTGCGAACTAAAGTACCAATGTGGTAAACTGGCGAATGACATTCAGGTATACACAGATCAACATTTCAGGCATTTTAATTATCCAAAAAAGGGTTACTGTCATAATATGCATATATATACATATATATAAATATATATATACATATATATAAATATATATATATATATGTACGATACATGATCAATTTTTTTTTTAAAAAACCCATGGCTAATTTGACAACTTATACATATGAAGCTATTCCTATTGATAATAATATAATTAAATATTTTTTAAAAGCAAATGGCAATAAACTTAGCTACGCTAAATTCATTGAACTTTTAAGTTTAGGAGAAGAAAATTTTTTAGACACATTCAAAAAAGCTTTAAATGAAGCAACAAATAAACTATCCGCATATTTTTGGGAATGTCCTCCTATACATAAAGAAATGACAAATAAACCATTCGAATTTGTAGTAACTAAATCTACAGCATTAAATTATATTAAACAAGATTACTCAAGCTTTAAAGAAAAAATTACTGAGAGTAATAATAAAGAAGTTTGTAGTTTTTTAAGTTTAGGAAAAGATGCTACTTTAATTGTTCCTATACCTTATCACAATCTTAATTATAAAAATATTAGTAATTTTACTAAGAATGCACCAAAAGAACAACAGATTAAATTTTGGCAAGAAGTAGCTAATAAACTGGCTGAATGTTTAGAAATCGGTACTCCTAAATGGTTATCTACAAGTGGTTTAGGAGTTCATTATTTACATATAAGGATTGATAGTAAACCAAAATATTATACTTGGAAAGAATATTTACCGTTTAAGCTTGAAAAAAATAATTGGGAATATGAACAATCTAAAAATAATCTTAGTTGCAATGAAGAAATATCACCTCTTCGGCAACCATCAAACATGGATCCGAAAGTTGAGCCAAATGTTGAACCAAATGTTGAACCAAACGTTGAATCAAAAAATGATTCAAAAATTGAATCAAATGTTGAACCAAAAAATGATTCAAAAATTGAATCAAAAATTCATCCAATAGCCTGCCAGCCTTCTATACAATCGAGAATTGATCGAAAAAATAAATTAGACAAATTGATGAGAAAAAAGAAATTAGATAATGAATTGTCAAGAAAAAAGAAATTAAATAAATTGAAATATAAAAAAAAGAAGAGAATGAATGTGATAAAAAAAACATAATTAAAAAAAAGCAGAAATGAATTTTATTCAAATAACAATTTTTTATTCAAATCTCAAGGTAGGAACTTAATCTCGAATCTACTGTAATTCGTGCATTCACGCAATTTTTTTTATTTCCTACTATTTGATTTTTTTTTTTTTTACTGATTCGCGTAAATTATTTATTTCTTTTTGTTCATTACTTTTATAAATTGCATTAATAAAACTCTCTTTAGCAAATGTTTTAGAAATAATAATAAAAAGAAAATCCTTATAAAATAGTCACTAGTTTTATGACTAAATAAAGTGCAAGTAACTTTCTCGATATATGAAACCTTCGATCTCAAGTGCCTCAATAAATTGGGCAAAAAGTGTCGGGAAATAAATTTTATTTAGTGGAAAATATTTTAAACATGTTTATCATTACGATGAAATATAAATAATATCCGTAACGTGATAAGCTCATTTTTTATTATATAGTAAAAAATATTAAATGAATTTGTTATTTCAATTACCAAATTTTTTACCACAAACTATCTTTATATGCCTTGGAAAATTTTTACAAAAATAGAGTATTCAAAAAGATCGCTCAAGTAACTTTGCCATGGATTTCATTCTCGGCATCAACGAATTATTATTTTTACTTCTCGCACCAAAAGTTTTTATGGAAAAAATCGAGATAACCAAAAACAATAACAAGTACTTATCATCTCTTAACCTTCTATATCTATATTCAGGGTATTTTTTCATATGTTCTTCCTTGGCGGCTTCAGCCATTTTTTGGAATTTAAGACGCACTTCTAAAGGTTCTTCATGCCACATTCTACCAATTTCTTTAGATACATCATTGTTTGAGATGCCTTGATGTTGAGCAACAATCTGAGGTTGTTTTGCTCGACGATAAAGAATAAAGGCGTTTGGTGGTCTTGGAGGTTTTTTGATTTTACTATTTTTGCCATTTGCAGATCTTTCTGTCTTTGAGCCAGCTACCCCACAGGGGAGTGCAAATGAAGGGAGACGTACATCAGAATCAGGGAGCATTCTTGAAACGTTAGGCGCAGAGGAGACGGGTTTGGAATTTTCCAATAAATTGGTTACAGCGGAAGCTTTGGAGTCATTTGGAACAAGAACAGGTTCAAATCCATCAGGAATGAAGTAGAAATGACCCTTTCGTTGTTCATAAAGATCTTGAACTCTATCGTAAGATACGTATTCGAAATGAGGCAATATGCCGCTCTTTGGAGAATCCGGAGTCAATTGAGATTCATCCTCATGTAAAGAATCGTCAGTACAATCGACTTCAGGTTCAATACAATTATTGATTGTAGATTGACGAACAGTGGGTATTGAAGAAGGTTGAATAACAGGTGCCATATTTAATTGTTGCATTTTATTATTGAGAGGGTAATTTAAACTCGCGACGTGATGTTCAGCTGAAAAGATATTTGAAGGTTTGAGAACAGCTGTAGACATCAGATTTTGTTTTATGAAATTATTTTTTCTTTTCAAAGAGAAAATTTGGTTTATTTATAAATATTTTTTCGTTAAAAAAAAAAAAATGGAGATATATAGTTTTTTTTACTGTAATATATTATATTTTATAAATATAAATATAAATAATACAGTAAGCATATATAAATTATAACTTATATAGAATTCATAGAATTCAAAACGCTTTACAATAAGCTGTATAAATGTGATAAATATATATATTACTGAATAATCACATTAATTTTCGCCAAAAACCTCCTAAGTGTCCAACATATATGTATAAATATTTATTTTAATTAAAAGAATTCAAAAGCATTGTGTTTACTAAAGATTCTTATTTAGTCTGTGAAAAAAAAGCACTTTATTAATCAGCACCTATGAGACGTTTACTCGAGGCAAATTATTAAAACTTATCTATATATCCTAATATTATTTGTATCCTAGATTCTATAAACCCCAAGAACTAGCATTAACAAACGAAGTATAACAGATAATGTAGGTAATGTGAACTATCTCTTAAAAACGTAACGAAACAATGGACAAAAAAATAATAGATTTTTGGTTATGTGGCGGAACAGGCGGGTTTATACATTAAAATATCTCCTTTCGTTTTTAGAAAGTACTTTATAAGAGGATTAAAAGTTTTCACACCTTTATTATAGACGAAATAAATATAACAGATAACGATAATGTACGTACAGTACGTGTGCACTTGCAAAAAAAAAATCAAAACATCACATTTTTTTTTTTTTTTTGTACTGCAACGCTGTTTCTCTAAAAAAGTTATTATTAATAGTATTGAAGGAACACCAATAATAATGTTGAATCCTAACCTAGTTCATCCAGCCATGATAATTTTTTTTTTTTTGCCTAGATAAATCTCGATTTAAAACACAGAATACTCAAGTTGCATGTCCGGAAGAAATTGACAACGCACAGCCCTTTTTCAATTATTTATTTTACAGCTAATATGATAGTTTTCAAATTTCACCATCAAATAGCGTTTATTATTATTACATAATAAAAAAAACTTTTGCCCGTTTACCATAAAGATAAATTATAAATAGCATTCTTTTGGAATTATTATTAAACCCTAGCATACACTTGAGATCATGATCCGCATATACTCTTTTTTAAATACTCTGATGGATTTATAAGAAAATATGCATATTATGTAGTTCTGTAAACGGGTTTTCGCTTGTTTAGTCTTGACCTCTAGTGTGATTATCCGATATCAAAGAATTAATTTTTTAATAAAGAATGGAAAATAAAGATTTCCTTGACATTGCATGATTTTATTTTACCAATAAAATTTTAAAAATCGATTTGAAGTTCTTGTTTGCTAGATCTTTCGTTATTCTCGCAATGTTGTAAAATTCTCTGAAAAAGGATATATAAAAAGTACTTTAGTTATTTTCTCTGCGTAAGATGCTATATTAAAACATACCTTTTCCACACTAAATATTTCCTATATAAGAAAGATATTCTTTGAGTGCCCTTTTTATATTTATGTATTAACCAGTTTATATCTAAAAATGAAAAACAGATTGCGTTTTTTTACTGAATAGTGGTCTTGTATCAGCATATTTTTTTTATTGCAACTTTCAAGTTTTTTTTTTTCTTCTTCTTCTGCAACGGAATGCAAAATCCGGCATAATCTTCCTAATAAATCCACTCATTAAAAAAAGAAAACTCATTAAAAAAGAAAGACTTCTATCGAAACTTTATACTTATGATAGCCCGATAAAAATTGGCCACAACTCATGGTTGAAATTAAATCTTGTTTTAATCTAGCTTAAAGTTCTTGATTCTTCTTTAAATTATTGCATATCATCCCTGTTCTAAAAAAAAAAACGTGTAATTAACTACTATTGCTGTATTGGCGCAGAGATTAGAAATTATTATAAATGTACCACATTCTCCTAACTTATACGTATATATGTTATATTGGGTTTCAACAGATGGAAAAATGGAATAATTGAATCTTATCAGGGACTTTTAGGGCACATTGCTTGATGGTTGGACATGAATAGATACATACGCATATAGTTTTTAATATGACCTAACTTTAACAAGTTTTTATAGGAACAGTAACATACCTTGGGAAAACAAAAGATTTTACACAAAAAACTGGCACGTTCCGGAATTTTTCAATGTAATTTCAAGATCGAGTTCGAACCCTACATACTCTCAGTTTAGTGTGAGTAAAACGTTTGCGATCAAGAAAAAATCTGACCAAAATTCTTCCATGTTCTTAATTGAGTTTCTATCACATGTCTTTACTATGAAAATCATTGAATCCAAAAATACGTAAAATGCTAAGAAAGTAATAGTTTTTTTGGTGGCGGGTGGATGTTCGCATACCTCTCGTCATTTAAATACGCCAACCATCATCGTTTCACTACTTTATCGTATTTGGAAAACTTCTTTGTCAGAAGTTAGTCTGGATCATTCTGTAAAATTGCCTATCCGCTATTTATTAAGTAGACAAGTCATGCATTCACACCTAGTTTATTAAAAGTTAGTAAATCATCTCGTAATATCTGTATTATACGTATGTGTATTTACGTATGACTTGTATATATGGCATACCAATACTTTACGTATGACTCTTAACGATCATCATGTATAATAGTGATGTATTTTATTTACGTATAAATTATACAAAATATATACGTACTTTATTATGGTATCGACAGAGAAGATAACGTACACATGATTCTTGCCAATCTCTCATGACTTTTTACACATACCAAAATTTTATTAGAATGAACGGATTTATTAAAATTATAATATATATTAGAATTACTAAAATTAATGATTTAATTAAAATTAATTATTATTATCCTTACTATATATTACCGTATTATCGTTATGTTTTGTAGCACATTTCCTTGAAAGAAAATGACCCAAGAAAAAGAAATCGAGTTTTTTAAAAATCACCACATACTTGAATTTTTAAGGTTTACTAATTCTATTTTATTTTATAAATGCTAAGATAAGATACTAGTATTTACTAGTATTCACTTCTATAGTCGATAACTTGAAGAGCTACACAGGCACTGAAATTTTTTTAGGTTTAGACAATTTAGGAAATAAATTTATTTAAAATTAAATACTTTTTAGAGTCACTGTTTTTTACTTACTTTTTTTTTAATGTTTATGATAATCTTCTATAGATTTAGGTGAGTATGTACATATGTATACAGTATATAAAATGATAAAAGTGATAAATCTTGTACATACGTTACGTTAACGGATTAATCTAGCTTAATACAGTATGGTAATCTGATTTGACACCATTTTTCTATTCTAAACTATCAAAAAGTTTAGTGGTCCCAACGATTGTGTAAATAATGAAAAAAAAAACCAGAATTAATCAATAATCTCAAATCCGGGAAACAAGAATTTATCTTTTGGCGAATTTGCTGAATTCCTGAAAAACAATCTTTAACTTGCATAAGAAAAATGGCGGTTTTAATTTCAGATATGCTTAAATTGACTAGCAGATATGAAGATATCGAAACATGCAAGGCAATACATAAAAATCAGAAGTACGTTTCATTTGTAGAATGGTTGGGAAAAGTTTCAAGTGTTATAAAAATAACTACGATAAATGAAAAAAAATCCCTAACGAATTTGGGGCTTTGAATGAAGCCTCTTTTCATCCCCCTCTTTGCTTACATAATATATGATGGTTAAGCATGTATCGTGAGTATTTGAAAGGAGTATTTGAAAGGAGTATTTGATGACGTATCAAAAAGTATTTGTTCCGAGTTTTTATTATTCTTTATTATATATATATATATATAATTATATATTAATTATATATATATATTTAATTTTAAATATTATTATTATTTTTTTTTTTTTAGTAACGTCCAAACAATGATGTATCTAAAGAAATTGGTAGAATGTGGCATGAAGAACCTTTAGAAGTGCGTCTT